GGCCGAACTCTCTTTTCAATTTAGATAGCACGAATAGCTCCGTAAGTAATTCGACTTACTTGCTGCTCTCGCCGCTTGAGGGGCTGGACGAGTGACTGCAGTGGCAGGAGGCGCGCGCCACGATCCCAGAATCCTGACCGCTGGAATGCAAGGACGTCGCGGATGCCTCCAGGCCTTTCGGGGTCCCCGTCGTCCTCCCGGCGTGCTTACTACAACCGCCCATCCTGCAACCACCACCACCACCTCTGCCACTCTAGCATCGACATCTAGCGACGAAAGATATGGGAATTCCCTGATACAGTTTTCCCCCCCTCCCCTGACCTTGCACCCCTCCCTCTTCCCCCCTCGACCGACCGGTATCATCATAATAAATGCACCAATGCATTTTTATCTCGTGCCCCCTCTGGTTTTTTCTTCTTCTTCTTCTTTTTCATCCACGCGAGATGGCGTTGTTTCGTTTGCTCGCAGCAGATTCGAAGGAGGGAGGAGAGGGGAGAGGGAGGCAGGGTGCGTGGCTTCGAGCAGGTTCGCTGCTAATGGATTGAAAACGGAGGAAATCGGTGGAAGCTTCTGGTAGAATCGCGGTTGTTGCGATATTGGATATTTGGTGTTGGTTGTTTTGTCAGCCGAGAATGGATAGGATTGGATGGGCCAATTTGTGAGGGATTCGAGTGGTAATATGTCCTGGGTAGAGGGAAATGATTGTGTGTATGTGTGTGTGTGTGTTTTTTATTTAATTTTCGACCCGAGAAGAAAAAAGGATTTTTCCGCGATTTTTTGAATTAAATTTTTATCGTAGAGTTCAATGAGAATATTAATTTCATTCACGAATTATATTTCAATTACACGTGTTTATATTCAATTCCGTGTTCAATCATTTGAGCATTGTGTAAATATTAAATATACATCGTGTATATATCAAGATTTTTCTAAATTGTTTACTTTAGAGAATTGTGAAAATTTGTATTTATTTTAAAGTCCGACCATAAACGGGCCGGTACTACTTACCGATATACCATCATCGCGGTGAAGCCAATATCAACGGTTACTTTTCAAAACCGCAAAACCATATTTCCTGTCTGTATGCATTTCATATCTGTTTATTCGCAGGAAAAAAAGAAAATAATTTTCTTCGTTGATTCTGAAATAAACTCTTTTCATCTCTACTTGATATCGCGTGATACGAATATTATATTCAGGGATATAAAATTCAAAACTGAAAATTTTCGAAACGTTGAACGCGAAACCGCGGAAGATCTAAACAGGTCGTGCATAACCGCAAGCGATTCTGCTCAGTTGCGCTCAAATGATTTAATACGGTTTACAATGAAGTCCTGGTGGACTCTCAACGACGAGGATAAAGGCTGATCTACATCGACGATCAATATAACGATATATATAATATAATATAATATAATACAAAAGCACGTATCCTAAATTAATTTGTGAATAAATATCGTGTCTTAGTTTAAAGATGTAGTTTAAAAATTTCTGTTTGGAAAATTAAATGTACTATCTAATCATCGATGGAGTGTAAATCCGTCTTAAACAGTGAATCGAATAGACTTACGCGTGGAAACGGGCGCAATTAGATCCGTGCTCGCAGATGCTGTGCCGTCTCGGTATGTCGGCGCAGAACGGTTCAGGGTCGTAGTGAAGGCCGTCGACAAAGGTCGGGAACAATGGCGGCTTCTGGAGGGTCGCGGATGGATCTGCCAAAGCGAAACCAATCGGGCTGGTGGTCGAGAACATCGCTTTCTCCCGACGTCTGCGACTAAACCGATAAAATTTAAGTAATCACGGTTTAGAGCGAATTGGCATTTGATTGGCCTGGTATTCGATAGAAGTGGAAAGAGACCGATGGACGTGTTCTCGCTGGAAACTTAATTTTGTTTAATCTAAACTTTTCTCATGAGAAGAATTCCCTGGAATTGTTTCAAACGATATTTATTATTTACACGTGTTATGAGAAAGAAACGTTTCCAAAAATGATCGTTTAATTGTTTGAAGTTGAAAAATTCTATGCACTAATGCGTCTAATATCTTCTTACCGTTTACTTCTGCGAACGCACGTGATACAAAGGGCGGTGACGAGGGCGCCCACAAAGATGACACAGCCGAGCATCACCACAGCCACTTCCAAAGTGGATAGCAGGTAACGTTGATTACCCTGACGAGGAGAGCTTCCGGCAATGTCCAGAACATCGTACTCGTCCAACTCCCGCTTGATTTCCGTTTTCTTTGTGTTGAACACGCTGGAACAACGCGTATAATTAACTGATCACTGCACGATGTTGCTCGATGACTATTTCGATTATCATTTTTTTCATTTCAAACGATGTGATTATCGCGCGTTTATCACAGTGATTATAAAGTTGGACAAGGATTACTTACTTGTGCAACGTGTCCATGTCTATCATAACGTTTAAATGGGGATCGATTGCGTAAAGATAAACGTCGGTACTGCGAAACAGGAAATGTAATAAAAAATATAGAATAGAAGGAATTTTAATTTTTCTTCTTCGAAGATATTTTTTTTTTTAAAATGTTATTTGTCACCACTTACGACGTCGTGTCGATCAAATTTTTTTCAATGTGTGGCTCTAACTTCCTCACTCGAACGTCGAAACCCGTCACGTTGTGCAATACTCTGAAATTGAATTAAAATTCTTACACGAGAAGGAATAAAGATATATGTAAATAAACGCTTATATTCCAATGGTCTTAATTTGTAAAGAACGTTCAGATATTTATCTCTTTTAATTTGAAATTGAATATTTAAGATTGAAAATATTTGGAACAGAAATGAATGAACTCACGCGGTGATATTCTCCAGTTGAGGCTCGAGATCTATGGGCCTTCGACCAACCACCATCACCACCTGCTTCTGATCATCCAGGATGTACACCTTTCGACAAACATCACAAGATAAATAAATAATTGAATAAAGTTTGACAATTTTTAATCGATCAACTTTTGATTCAATTAGCTAAAATATTTATTAACCATAAGTATAATTTTATAATTGTAATTGCAAGAGTTTTTTTTTTTTTTTTTGAACGAAGAATCAAAGAAGGAAAAGTTACAAAA